AAGATTGACCTCGACAGCAACAACCGCGTGTCGTTCATTGAGTACTGCCTGTACAAGTACGGCAAGACGCTTGAGGAGCTGTTTGAGGAGAAGGATCACAAGATTGAACACCTCCTGCGCAAGCTCGAGGAGGCCATCAAGCTCTACCAGGTGCTGTGTTGTGTCATGTCATGTGGGGTTGGGCGGGGTGTATGTGTGTGTGTTGGGGGTTGGTCCCCGTTTGTATTTCCGTTTGCTTAGCCCTCTGTTTTCTCCCTGCACCTGTGTCGTGCTTCCTTCACACACACACACACACACACACACACACACACACACACACACACACACACACACCTTCCCCGTCAGCTGTCGCGCCACACTGCTGCACGCTCCCCCACTCCACTCCACTCACCCACGCACTCGACATCCCCTCTCCCCGTCTCCTCCATGCATGCCACGCCCCGCAGGAGACGCTTGCGAAGAAGAAGGCGCGCGAGGACAAGATGAAGGAGCTTGAGCAGCTTGCCGAGCAGGGCGGCGTTAAGGGCATGCGCGCAAAGGCCGAGCTGGAGGCAATGAAGAACGAGGACGAGCTCGAACGCAACAAACAGGTCCGCTGCGAGGGTTCTGGCTGTGCACTGCCATGCCATAGCTGATCTTGATCTTGCTGCCAATCCATTCTCCCCAGTTAATTGCGCCCCACTTCTCCCTTTCCCTCCATCCTTCTTCCTTATCCCTCCCTTCTTGTTTTGTCGCAAACAACGCCACCATCACTATCACCATCACTATCGTCTTACCTCAACCCCCCCTCTCACACAACAAAAACAACAACAACAACAACAACAACAACAACAACAACAACAACAACAACAACAACAACAACAACAACAACAACAACAACAACAACACTGCGGTTGACTCGAAAGGAGATCCAGGCTGGTGCGCGGCGGCGTGCGGCGCAGCGGGCGGTGGACAAGGGCGACCCCTTTGCCGAGGAGCAGAAGCGCTTGGCGGAGGAGAAGAAGAAGAAGGAGGCCGAGGAGAAGGCAAAGCGTGAGGAGAGCCGTAAGCGCCTTGCAGATCGCGCAAAGCTCTGGCAGTGATTGCGCAGATGTGCCTCATTGTGTGTTGTTGTTGTCGTCGTGGTCGTCGTTGTGTGTTGTTGCTGTCGGCGTCGTGCAGTCGTTTGCTGCTCTTGGCATATGTACTTGCTTGTGAGGCTGTCTTGTGAGGCTGTCGTGTGCTGACTGCTTTGGGCTGCTGGTCTCTCAGTTGGTGATGTTATGTTACGTGCTGTTGGTTGCCCTGGTGAATCCACCAAAGATGAGTTTGTTGTGTCCTTGCACACCTGTGCATGTGTGCGTGTGTGTGTGTGTGTGACTCTTGCTGACCTGTGTTGTGTGAATGTGAATACGCTTGCTTCTCCCCTACCTCTGGTTTTGTTTTTCGTGTGATAATTGTGAACTGAACTCCTCCCCGCCCCCCTTCTCCCAACCTCGAACTCCCAACCTCGAACGCAATTGTCCCAAGTACAGCGTGTGGCTGCTTGCCCGCCTGCCTGCGTGGCTTGCTTGCTCTCTTTGCGCTTTTGTTTGCTTGAAAGTCCCATGATGTGAATACAAACAAACCAAATTGACACACCTTGCACTCCTACAACAAGTGTGCCATTCGCATCACCGTGCTTCTACCGATGTAATTGTGTCGTCTATGTATGGAGTGAGCATGAACTGAGATGAGAGGGAGGAGGGAACGCGGGCACGGGTCAGGTCGTGGTGCCACAATGCGCGTGTGACATACAAGGCACTGCGCATGCTGGTTGGTTGCAAGCGGGTCACAATACGCCAGTAGTGGAAGAACGCCAAACAATCCTCAGACACACAAACAGCCATCGTGTGTGTTTGTGCGTGCGGGTGCACAACAAAACTGGCGCCAATCATCACTTTGGATGCTCACCATCAGTGCTGTTGGCACCAGCGGCACTCGCGCTGCTGAAACTGTCATCGGTGACGCTGTCGTTGTCATTGCTGTCGTCGTCGTCACCGCTGGTGTCATCACCATTGTGACCACCATCCTGCTGTGTCGGGGGTGCAAATGGTTCGCCATCAGGGCCGGCCACGCGCTCGAGTGTGCAGTCCGCAATGGCGGCGTTGGCGTCCACAAGCTGGCGCATCTCATCAACAACAGCCGCCACCTCATCCCCACTCGTGCCCCACAGCTGCAGCACTGTGTAATGCATGTGTGTGTGTGTGTGTGTGTGTGTGTGTGTGTGTGTGTGTGTGTGTGTGTGTGTGTGGTTGACATGAGGCACCAATGAGAGACGGTGAAGGATGACACAGATACCAATGCCAGTGCATGCAATCGTGTTACATCACCAGCTACCAGCAACAACAACACAGGGGAGTGCCTGCTCCTCACCAGCCCAGGAGTAGGATTCGTTGTTTGCGGGCACAATCAGATTCTTGACTTGGAACGAGCAAGGGCTCTCAACCACCAAATCCAACAGCCGGTTCAACACAGCCTACAGAACATGTGTGTAAGTATGTTTGTGCATGTCGTGTGCATGTGTGCATGTGTGCATTTGTGCGTGTGTGCATGTGTGTGAATGGGTGTGACTGGAAAACAAAGACAGAGAAGGAAAGTGACACACGTGTCGCGCCCACAACATCAAGTGTCGTCATACCAAGCACGCTTGGTCCGGTTGCATCACACAGAGCAGCACATGAATACATGTCCCAACAACAACAACAACAACAACAACAACAACAACAACAACAACAACAACAACAACAACAACAACAACAACAACAACAACAACACTGCCACCCACCACCACCACCACCCACACCACCATCACCTCAATTACCACACCTTATCGAAGAGGTGGCCGGTGACCTTGACGAATGCGGTGGGCATGGTGTTGTGCGCGGTGTCCACGACAGCAGCGAGCGCCTCTCGTGCCACCTGCTCCTCAAAGGACTTCATCGCATCTGCTGCGCCAGCAAGAGCAGCCTGCACGAAACAGTAGTGGCGGTGGTGGTTATGGTTGGACAATCGTCGTGAGGGGGGATGGAGTAATAGCCCGTGAAGTGATGGGAGACAAGTGATGTGCAAAAGTTGGTGTACCAGGAGGCGTCCCTTGTTGCATGCGGATGGGATATTGCTTCAAACTCAGCGCGCGCACGCGCGTGTGTGTGTGTGTGTGTGTGTGTGTGTGTGTGTGTGTGTGTGTGTGTGTGTGTGTGTGTGTGTGTGTGTGTGTGTGTGTGTGTGTGTGTGTGTGTGAGCATGCCACCTTGAGTTCTGCCGTGGGTGCGGCCTCTGCCTGGCGCCGCAGATCAGCGCTGCTGGACTCCGACCCGTTTCGCGACGCCGTGATCAGCACCTCATCCATCTGTGCACACGCACGCACATGCACATGTTCACACGTGAGCTCGACGTAAGCAGGTGCGGTGTGATGGAGAAGCAAGCACACAAGTAACGACAAAGGTCACACAACCCCAAAACGCACACACACACACATGCGCACACAAACATGAACATGGCACATGCGCACACAAACATGAACACACATGAACACACACACACAAACAAACATGAACACGGCACATGCGCACACAAACATGAACACACATGAACACACACACAAACATACATGAACACGGCACATGCGCACACAAACACACAACAGCAACAGCCACAGCCGCAGCACCTGCTCGAGGGTGAAGGGTGTCGTCTCCATGGCGTCCTTCATGAGCCGCGTCACCACCTTGACCTGCTCGTCGGTGATGGGGAGGCGGAGGTGCTGCACTCGCTGGCGAAGTGCATTCCACCCCGTCAGGCGGTGCGCAATCTACACCGCGCCATTGGCCATCGATTGGTGATTGGTGGTGATGGTTGAGTGGTGGTGAGTACGCGTGGTGGCACGCTTAATGGCACGTGAGCAACAACAGCGAATGAGTGTGTAATGTGCAGTTGCACGGAAACAAACAAGACCACACGCGCACATGCCAGAGCGTGCTACCTTGATGTGTCTGTCAACACCAAAGTCTTGTGGATCAATGACTTCGTATGTACCGGGATCAGAGATGACAGCCTGAAGACAACACAAAGGGTACGGAAAACATGGTGTGGAGTGATGTGACGTTCGATCAAGGCGGGTGGGGCGAGGTGCAGCGGTGTTGTGTGGGGGGAGCGAGCGTGCGTGTCCACACGAACATACGTGCACACACGCAGTTGACTAACTTTGGAGTGCACGCCAGCCTTGTGGGTGAACGCTGCGGCGCCCGTGATGTAGTTGTTGAATGGAATTGTGACACGTGCGCAGCGTGCCACATACTGTTCCAGATTGCGCAACATAGTCAGGTTGTACCGCCCCTTCACGGCATCCTTGTCCAGCGTGTACATGCGCGCAAGGAACCCTGCACGTGGAGGTATGTATGATGTGTGAAAAAGGTGTGTGTGTGCGTGCATGTGTGTTGGCGAGGTCAGTGGACATGGGCTGTGCAGCCTGTACTGGAACAAGTGCCTGTTCACATGCACATGCACACGAATACACACACATGCAAACAAATACACACATGCAAACAAATACACACATACATGATACAAATACACACATACATGATACAAATACACACACATGATACAAATACACACACATGATACAAATACACACACCACACCACCACAAAGACGCGTGCGCACCTCCAAGAGGGGTGATGCCGTTTCGTTCGCCAATGCCGAGAACACACGTGTTGATGTGGGTGGCGCCCGCCTGAAGTGCAACCAGCGCGTTTGCAATACAGCAGCCCGTGTCGTCGTGGGTATGGAACTCAATACCTGTTAGGGCGGTGCACGGTGTGAAGCATGGTGTGACCTGGGCACATGCGGTGGAAACAGACACGACAGCCGTGTGACTGTCATGTTTCATTCATGCCACGAGGCGCAATTTCACGTCCGAACACGTGCATACCTGTGCTGGGCTTGAGGATGCTTCGCACAGCGCGCACGGTCTCATACACTTGGAACGGGTGGGCAACGCTGCAGTACAATGCGTGATGTTGTCTGGTTGGTGACACTACAAAAACACTGCGACAGGGCCAACCCCTTCAAGTTGCAGAGTGCACAAACCATGATGCAAGCAAGCCAGGACACACACGTGCAAGAGCACACGCACACGCACACACACAACAAAACGCGATGCCCTCACACGTGTATTTCACACACACCCACACACCCACACACACACACACACACACACACACACACACACACACACACACACACACACACACACACACACACACACACACACACACACACACACACACACACACACACACACACAAACGAATCGCCACTCATAGAGCACACAACAATTCCTACTCGCGCACCCCACGGTATCGGCAAGCCCGATCCTGTCCACCCCAAGCGCGTCCACCGCTGCGTATATGTCCAGCAGCTCGGACTTGTCGCTGCGGAATGTGTCTTCACAACTGAACCGCACCTCAAGCCCAGCATCCTGTACGAAGCTGTGGAACACACGCAGTGTGGGTGTGAGGGGTATGAGGTGTTGTGCATGTGCTGCTTTGGCGCAGGCACGAGGGGTGTGAACTAATAGCATGCACAAACGCAGTTCACACCACACACACACACCACACACACCACAATGCACCACACACACACACGCACACCACACACACACACACCACGACGAGCACCTGATGACTTGTCTCGCAGATTCGATGACAGCGTCCACGCCTTTGCCGTGGGAGTGTTTGCGAAGGGCTTCGCTGGTGGCCATGTACATGCTGACCCCGTCTGCGCCCGTCTCCACCGCTGCGCGAACATCGTCCATATGGCACCGTGTGTGCACCACGACCTTGGCCTTCAATCCCAAATCCTTGATCCTGCGGCAATCCTCTCTCGCCTATCAAGAAGAGTAGGTGGTGGTGGTGGTGGTGACATGCATGAACGAAGCTGCGCGCGTGCTTGTACATACACACACACGCACACACGCACGCACACATACACTCACACACGCACACGCACACGCACACTCACACCTGTGCGCTGGCCATGGGGTTGACGACCTCGATGTAATCCACGCCGAGCTTGTCGAGGGACTTGGCAATGTACACGCGGTCTGAGCCCGTAAAGTCTGCCGTGGAGAACTGCTCGCCCTCACGCAGCGTAGTGTCCACAATGTAGAACTTGGGGAAGCGCGTGTACACGGGAACATCCGCTTCTGCGCTGTTGTTGGCTGGAGCCACTGCCGCACTGGCCATTGTCCTCACAGTTGTCCTCGCACTTGCCGTCGCACTTGCAGTCGCAGTTGCTGCACCTGCAACCGAGCGCACTGATCGCGCCAGCATCCCCATCACCATCATCGCCATTGGCACTGGCCGCTTGTGCCGCTTGTGTTGTGGAGGCTTCGGAACAAAGTGGATGATGGGTTGGTGGGACAGTGTGCCACATGCCACACGCAGGGCGACATGTGCTCATGATGATGCTGTGCACATGGTTGTTTTTTCTTGGTTAGGCCGGCCAGTGTTTCATTGTTACAGTTACAACAAGAAGAGTTACACAACACAAGACAACAACGACACCCGTACCATCACCACCACACACATATGCACGCGCACAGCTTTTTGGGTGTTGTGGGTGTTGTGCAGTGGCACAACAACCAAAGCCAGCAAGAAGCAAGCGCACATCGTGTGACGGACGGAGGGAGAGTTGGTTCCTTGCAAAGGACCCAATGCACTTCGGTGCTCCGTTGAGGACTGATTCAAAACGCGTGCAGAATCCCAAACAACCGGTGTCACAATTTTCATGCTGTCGTTAATCGACGACGCCAATGCCGCGTTTCTCGCTGCACACAAACAAACTCGCTCCCACCGCTGCTTCCACACATCGACAAACCCTGTTCTGTCCCTCCACACACGCACACACACATCTCTCGCAGACACACACGCAGACGCACGCGCACAGACGCACATGCGCGATGGCATTCCAGTCACAGGCGGTGTTGGTGCAGGAGCCGGACTCGCAGGTGGTTTGGCACCTGCCAGCGCTGGTCATTCCGGAGAGCGTGCAGTTTCTTGGCGGTGGAACCTTTGGCAGGGTCGTTGGCGTAAACACGAGCAACGGCGGCCAGTTTGCCGTGAAGAAGTTCACCAACCCCTTCCAGGATGCCACCTTTGCGCTGCGCACGTACCGTGAGATTTGCATCCTGCGCCACCTCTCCCGCAACGGCTGTCCACACGTGCTCCAGTACATTGGCACCTACAGCCCACAACCGGAAGACGTCCCTTTGCAGGAGCTTTACGTCGTCACGGAAAAGTGTGACTCAGACCTCCGCACAGTGCTCAGACACAACAAGCTCACCGTCCCCCACATCCAGCTCATCACCTACCGAATCCTCTGTGGCCTTTACTTTATCCACAGCGCAGGCGTCATCCACAGGTGCAGAGGCGTGTGTGCATTTGTACGTGTGCATTTGTGTGTGTGTGGGTGTGCATTTGTGTGTGTGTGTGTGTGTGTGTGTGTGTGTGTGTATGTGGGTGGGTGTGTGTGTGTGTGGGTGTGGGTGTGTGGGTGTGTATGTGTGGATGGGTGTGGATGGGTGTGGATGGGTGTGGATGGGTGTGGATGGGTGTGGCTGTGTGGCTGTGGCTGTGTGGCTGTGGCTGTGAGTGTGGATAGGTGGGCCTGTGCGTGAGTTGCCTTGTTGGGGTGGGTGTCCCTTGTGCGTGCAAACGCGCATGTGCGCATGTGCGTGTGTGCATGTGCAACTGCCTTATGCTCACGTCATCGGGAAAACTTGCGCTCGCTGTAGAGATTTGAAACCCGAGAACGTGGCCATCTTTGAAGGTTGGTTGATCCCTTGCATTCATCCCACGTATTCATCCCATACATTCATCCCATATCCCCTCTCCCGATCACCACCCTTGCGCTTGCTTCCTTCGTCATCGCTCATCGTCAGCATCTGAACACCACGCCGTGCCCTTCACCATCACCACCCGAACTACTTCTCCCCGCCCCTTCTCTTGCCCCGGTTTCTCTCGTTTGCGTGCCGCCTTTGCTGTTCTCGCGCCACAGACTGTTCGGTTCGCATCATCGACATGGGGCTTTCCCGCGGCCGTAACGGCGGCAACGACACCCCATATGTGCAGACGCGCTTCTACCGCGCGCCAGAAGTGGTGGCCCTCTGTGAATACGACCAGAGGTGGGCGCAGGGGTGCTTGGCTGGTCCGGCTGGCTGTCGTTGCCTATGCTGTGTGTTTTTGTACCTGCTTCTCATTCCTCCCTTCGGCGGCGTTGTTGTGTCTGAATCTTCGCTTTGTGCTCGACAAGTTGTTGAAACTCCCCATCACATCACATCATATCAAACACACACACACACACATTCCGTTGCATTCCTTTCGCCACACACCTTACCCCCCCCCCTTCACTTTCTTTCTTTCTCCCTCCATCCTCCGTCCCTGGGCTGCCCAGCGCGGATGTGTGGTCGTTTGGGTGCATCCTGTGCGAGTGTTTCGGCAGCAACATCCCCTTTCCCGGCCGCAACACGCCCGAGCAGTTCTATGAGATCTTCCGCAAGATCGGCACACCCCCACAGTCGTTTCTGGATCACGTCCCCACAGACGCCGTCCGCACACACATCGCGTCCCTCGGTGCGTGGCTGTGTGTGTCTGTCTGTCTGTCTGTGTCTGTGTCTGTGTCTGTGTCTGTGTGTGTCTGTGTCTGTGTGTGTGTGTGTGTGTGTCTGTGCGCACTCTCGCTTTCCTCTCACTCTGCCGCTACCACTCGCCCCACCACCACGTTCCCCTCCCCCTTACCTCCACCCCACTCGGCGGCGGCCGCCCCACTGCAGGCCAACGGCCGCGGCAGGCGATACAGGAGTTTGTGCCGACGGCGACGCCAGAGGCCGCGGACCTGCTCGACAGCATCTTCGTCTACTGTACGTACGAACACACACACACACACACACACACACACACACACACACACACACACACCCAAATCGTTAGAAACGGTATTTCCTTACTGGCTGCGATCTTATTACCGACCTAGATCAACTTGGCTACGCCGCACGCTACAGACAAAGCCTAACGCAGTGTAACAGTGCTTCCAGGATACATCAATCACAGCATGCCCTGAGTGGGATCAACTGCTCGTTTCATAGACTTTTGTCACCTGCATAGATTGGGCAGCAACGTCCTTAATCGTTTTGACGTACGTGGCTGGCACGGACGCAATTTGGGGTAGACATAGATAGACAGTATCCACATCTGTCCTTCCTACCCAGTCTTTGATTCTCGGGCACGGAGTCCAGTCTCAAAATGAGCCCGTAAAACTGGCGTGGGCTCGTCGTAATTGCAAAACCCGATACCATTGCGTTGAGCAGCTAGACGAGTCATCCAGCAGTCAGAGGGAGCCGCTGGCGACACACGCTTCCGGGAGAGCAAGCGTAAGGTGTTTTACATGTGTGTCGTGTGTGTGTGTGTGTGTGTGTGTGTGTGTGTGTGTGTGTGTCTGTTTTCAAGGCCGCCGCCTCCCACGTCACCCATGCACACGCACACGTGCACTTTCACGTGCACTTGGCCGAGCATTGCCTCTTGCGTTACTTGCACCAGTCTGGGTCATTTATGTTACGACGCTTGTTGAGGACACTTGTACAAATTCATAGAAGGACAACAACAAGCTTGTGAAGCCATAACAACAAGCGCCTGCCAACGTCCATCACACACCACGTCCATTTCACCTCCCCATGCGCTTGACCAGCAAGCGCTCTCCCGACACACACACACACACACACACACACACACACACACACACACACACACACACACAACATCCGCTTGCACGTGGCTACGAGGCGGCTGCCTTTGTGGAATACGACTTATGGTGCTCCTGGCGCAGGTCCTCGATGTCCTTCTTGGCCATGAGGAGGTCTGCAATGCGCACGTGCTTCTTCTTGTCGCGCCGCACCAACATCATGATGGCCTCAAACGGCGTGATGCCGGCCCGGTCCGCCGTGCGGAACGCATACTGAATCTGCGTGCAGAGGGAGAAGTGTTGAGCGGGAGAGGGCGTGAACGGGCGAAGGTGGGCAATACATGACAGAGGGGGTCGGTGAGTGTGGGTCGGTGAATATGAGAGAGAGAGAGAGACGGAGAGACAGAAGGATGCACACACACACACACACACACACACACACACACACACACACACACACACACACAATAGAGATGCACCAACAGACACACACGCACACGCACGCAGACAGACAGATGGCGAATGTGCAAGTCTGTCGTTCTTTTCCCGCTCTCTGCCACTCTGTGTGCTCCTGCATGGGTTCAACCTCCAGGAGGCACAACCCGCACCGCCCAAAGACACGTGAACATGCAAAACAGGGCCACCATACCACGTCGTCGATGTAGGAGGTGACAATGTCCTCCATTAGGTCAACTGTCTGCTCGTATGGCTCCTTGGCATCGCCAAACCCAAACATCATGGAGATGACTGCCACGACAGTATCAACGACAGCAGCAATAACGATCACACCAGCAGCAACAAACAGTCACAACGATGATTGTGGTAATATGAGTGCACATTGCTGATAACAATGCGGGGTTTCATGCTGGGCCGTCAGACAGCAAACATGCGCAGAATCAAGGCACTGCCAGCTGGGGATATCGCAGCCACACATATGACCCCACGCAAAGCCCTCGTAGCTGCGTGTCTTACGGGCTGGTTGCAACAGGCGTTTGTTCTTGCGGATCATGGGCTTGCGCACGACGCGAACCTTCCGTTTCTTCTTCGGGCTCGTCATACTGTGTGGGATAGGCAACGGCATCCCCGTGCTAGCCATTGTGCTGGATGATGGAGCTGCTGCTGTAGCTGGCGTTGCTACTGCTGGCGCAGCTGTCGTCGTCGTCATCATTGGTGTAGTTGCCGTGGCTGGCGCAGTTGTTGTTGTGGTGCTAGCTGCACTGGTTGCCGGGGCTGTTGTCGAGGGCGCACTGCCTTCTGTTGCTGTGGCCATCGCCGCTTGCTGCTTAAACAAGTTCCCCAGCGAAGCCATCCTTCAAGAGTGCGCGTGTGATGTATGCGTGTGTGTGGGTGATGTGTGGGTGATGTGTGACACGATGCTTGTGATGTGTGGGTGATATGTGTGTGATGTGTGTGTGCTTTGTGATGTGAGATACGATGCTTGTGCAGCAGGTCAGCAAAGTCGCACTGTCGTCGCGTTCGCGGTGGTTGTGGAGGATTTGTGAATATTTTCGCTGAATCTTCCCCATCCCAAACTTGCTTCTCTGTGAAAACGACAGCACCTCCTTCTACCTCTCCTTCCCGTGTTCGTCTGCCTTGCTGTTCCAAGCAGCAACAGCCAGCATGGCAGACGTCAAGGCGGAGTATGTCAAGGCGCTGAACGAACTCTCCGACAGTTCAAAGGTGCGCTTGTAAACACACGTGGAACCAATACATGTGTTTGCTGTGGTGTGCTGGTTCTGACTCGTTCCTTTCATGTAAGGTGCACGTCTACCTCGGCCCTAGCTCATGCTCACTCACTACTACACCCATGCACACACACACACACACACACCCGCTCACTCAAACGCACACACACACTCTCATGCCCTCACTCATGCACACCACCATCCAGCCCGTGATCAACTTCTTGACCATGTTGGCTCAGGACAACATCAACCATGCAGACATCATCGTGGCAGCCATTGTAGAGCGACTCAGGGTACTCCCATGCTGCACTCGACAGAGGCATTGCTCCAATGCGTTTCCTTGCGTCCCCTTACCGCGTTTCCGCCAAGCCTCTAGAGAGACAGAAGCACCTTTGCTCCCTCAAGCTGCCGATGGCCACTACCCCGCCACCAAGCCGGCTTCTCACACAGCACGCGCTGCACTTGTGTGCTTGCTTGCCTGCTTGCAGCTCAATCCGGGCAACAACATTCACTATCTGTACTTGGTTGACTCCATTGTGAAGAATGTTGGCGGTAAATACACTCTGAGCTTCGAACAATGGCTGCCACAGCTCGTGAAATACGTGATGGGCCAGGTGGGTCGCCACCGTAGTGGTGGATCGTGGAGAAAGTGTTCATGTTACACAACAATTGGACGCACTGTGTGTGTGTGTGTGTGTGTGTGTGTGTGTGTGTGTGTGTGGCGCGCGCTGTCGTGAATTGTGTGCTGTGTGGTGCAATTGGGCGCCTTGTCCATCGTCACTGCCACCACCACCACCACCACCACCATCATCATCATCATCATCATCATCATCATCATCATCATCATCATCATCATCGTCATCACCATCACCATCACCATCACCATCACCATCATCATCATCATCGTCGCATGTGCACGCAGGGAAACGAAGGGGTGCGGAAGCGCGTGATCCGTACACGCGGGACGTGGACCGGCATCTTCAAACCAGGCGTGCTCAAGAAGATTGACGAATACATCGCTACGGTTCGTCCTTATCTACACACTCACTACACACACACACTCACACACACACACGCGCGCGCGCACATACACACGCACATGCACAACGTTCCACTTGCTCCCCCGCCACTGCTGATACATCTGTCCATCGATTGGTCGGGTCCATCAACAGCTGTCCGGCGCTCGGGCTGGTGCACCTGCATTGTCGTCCTCGCAGCAAGCTGGCAAGCCAACACAGGCTGTACCACCACCAGCGCGTGCTGCCCCGACGTCCTCTGCACCACCACCATCATCACCATCATCATCATCATCATCAGCAGCAGCAGCAGCAGCATCGTCGTCATCATCAGCGTGGCGACCACCATCGCAACCCGCCCCATATGGTCGTGATCCCCGCACGGCCCACCACCACCACCACCACCACCATCGCCCGCTTCCGCCGCCATCAACCGCAGTGCCGCCGCCAGCCCGCCCACCCGCAGCACCCGTCACTGCATATGGGCGAGGTGCTGGTCGAGGTGCTGGTCGAGGTGCTGGTCGAGGTGTGTACCCACCACACCGCGGCGGGCGCCATGCTCCCTGGGACTCCCGCTACCCGCAGCACTCACAGCACGTGCAGCCAGCACCGCGACCACCGCGGCCACGAGCACCACCTGCGCCCGTTCGCCCGTCTGCCGCAGCAGGTGCGCGACGACACACAAGCGACGCGGCGATCGTGGCTGCGCTGGAGAAGGGGGAGGCAGCCCTGCGGTCGGGCCAGCTGCCGCCAGCACGCAGACAGGAGCTGGAGAAGGTGGTGGCAGACCTGAGGAAGGAGGTGGGTTACACAATGTCAAGAAGCGGGAGGGGAGAGATGCGGTGCGTGTGCATATGTGTGTTTGTCCATTCACACCTGTGGCCTCTTTGTGCGTGCGTGTGCATGTATGTGCGTGTGTGTGCGTGTGTGCGTACGTTTGTGCATATGTGTGTCTGTACATGCACACCTGTGGTCTCTTTGTGCGTGCGTGCGTGTGTGTGTGTGTGCATGTGTGTGCGTGTATGTGTGTGTGACATGCTTCACTCATAATGCCTGTCTTTTCTTCACGCCAACAGCTTGAGGGCCGGTCTCGCCCTGCACCGCACGTGCGCCGTCCACGTGAGATACAATGGATGGGGAGAGAGCGGATGCATATGATATGTGTGTGTGTTTCGTAGCTTGTTGGATTGCACCCGTTGATGGTTGACTGTGTGGCTCTCTAGTGCTCACGTAGCTCACCAACGTCCAATTCACCCCCTCCCCCTTCCTTCATATCATCTGCTACAGCTGCTCCCACTGCACACAGCATTCCGCAACGCGTAAGAACGACAGTGTGTGTGTGTGTGTGTGTGTGTGTGTGTACTTGTTCAGTTCATCGTTTCATCATGTCATCGTTTGTGTCCGTGCGTTGGGGTCGGCCTTGCGTGGTGTTGTGTCTCTGCTCGGCCTCCAATTTACGCCTCTGCGCGCGCGTGTGTGTGTGCAACGGCTGCTGCAGCCTCCCCACCCTGCTCGCCCACCACCACTCGATCGCTCCCTCGCACAGCCGCACGCGCACACACCAACCAGACAGCAGGTGGGCACAGACCTGTGGAGCGAGGAAGGGAAGGAGGGTAGGAGGGCAACACACGCACGCGTGGGTGACACCACGTGCCACACTTTATCGAACACTCGCACTCACTCACTCACTCGCACTCACACACACACACACACTCACACACACACACACACACACACACACTCTCTCTCTCTCTCTCTCTCTCTCTCTCTCTCTCTCTCTCTCTCTCTCTCTCTCTCTCTCTCTCTCTCTCTCACGCACCTGACGACACACGATGATATTCTCGCACCGCCACGGCCGCCACCACTACGGTGCGCAGTACGGGTCGCGGGCAGCGCATGAGCCGCTGACGCCGCGTACGCTGATGCAGCAGGTGCAGCAGGCCGGCGTGTTCGACTCGCTGCTGCAGGACGTGGCAGACAGTGCAACGCCGACGCAACAGGAGCAGCAGCAGCAACCGCAGCAGGGCAAGGGAAAGGGGAAGGTAGATGGGGTGAAGGTGGATGCTGGACCCGATTTGACCAACATTGCCATTGTTGAGCTCACTGATCTCTCCATCAAAGAGTGAGTATCACGTGCTTAGGGGAGGTGTGTGTGTGTGTATGTGTTGCGTTGTGTGGATGATTGCTTTCGTGTGTCCTTTTCCATTGCACCTGTTGCAGCTGTCGCGCGTCATAGTCGGCACTGATGATGTGCACACTTACACACACGCGCGCGCGCGCACGCACTCACACACACACACACACGCACACGCACGCGATTGTTGCTGTTTGCAAACTGGGTGGTGGTTTTTTTTTTTGGCATTATTGCAGGACAAAGGAGGATGCGTACATCACGCTCATGTATGAGGCGCAACCAACGCAGTGCAAGCAGTGCGGACTCAGGTGCGAATTATCTTCGCTGTTGTTGGTCTGATTGGTCCTTTTTGTGCTTTGGCGATTTCACCTTTATGGTTTGTGTGACAACTCAGCGAAATGTGCGTGCGCGTGTGTGTGTGTGTGTGTGTGTGTTGACAGGTTCCCGGACAACGCGAGTGAAGAGTTTAAACTTCATTATGACTGGCACTTCCGAAAGAACCAAGTTCGCAACTTGCCTGTCCGCCCGTCTGTCTGTGCTGTGCCCTCTGTAGGCATCTATTTTTCCTCACGCCCCCTATATCTATGTGTGCCCGTGTGTTGGGCACGCTGTCCCTGCAATTCTGCCCGCCCCACCCCCTCACCACCACCACTCCGACCATAAACTCCTCCCCAACCCCTCACTTCCCACTTCCTCCTGATGTGCGCCAACAGGAGCGGCAACAGGCGGCGGTCGTGTCGCGCGGATGGTATCTCTCCGAGACCGACTGGGTCAAATACGCAGGGTCAAAGCTTGACACTATGCCGTGAGTGCACAACACAGTGAGCAATGGAGGATGGATGAGGTGGTGACGTGTGCTAGCCGTTGCCTTTGTATTGTCTTTGCCTCCGCTTTTGCTTGGACAGGTGTACCCTGGTTGTGCTCTGGCCTTGCGTTATTTCTTTGATGCACACGGTCATCTTCCTCTCTCTTGTGTGTGATTTGCGTGTCCGACACGGCATCTTGCTGACCCCCGTGCCCTGGTCCTGACCTGTCTGCATTGTATTGTGTCATGCCACTCTGCTGGGTCATGTTGTGCTGTGCCGCCTTGAACGACAGTGAGCCGGAGACACAGGAGCAGAAGAAAGCGGAGGAGGAGCGAGCCCGCACTATTCTGGTTCGTGCGCATGTGTACACGTTTGCTCCGCGCTGTCAGAGTTCACTCGTTATACTTTGCATTTCTTTGCCTTTTGCTCTGTGTCTCGCCGTATGTTCTCAACCCCAATCGCCACCCTCATCTTTATGTCACCGCCGCTCGAACATCATCACATACACCGCATGACACCACCACATGAACACACAACACCACATCATCTTCATCACGGCGGACGGACAGGGGACGCAGCGCGTGAAGGCAAAGGACGACCAGCGGTGCAAGATCTGCCGTGAGAAGTTTGGCACATACTACGACGACGAAGAGGGTGCGGCGCTTGTGCGTAGACTTGATTGTGTGTGTGTGTGTGTGTGTGTGTGTGTCTCTGTGTGACTGCTGTGTTGCCGTTGATTGATTGTGTGTGTGTTTGTGTGTTTGTGTGTGTGTGTGTGCGGCTGCTTGTGTTGTTGTGTTTACCACCCCGTGAGCCTCTCACCATTTCGTGCTGCCTTCTGTTTGTGACACCGACAGAGGAGTGGCTGTTGCAGGACGCCATCGAGACCGACGAAGGGCTGTTCCACATCTCGTGTTACGAGGTTGCAAGCCGCGTAAGTTGTGCCACATGGCGGATATCGATATTGTTCTGGACAAGCAAGCACGTTCACGCACTCCTCCTTGAACACACACACGCACACACACACACACTCACGCACACACACACACACTCACGCACACACACTCACGCACACACACACACACACACACTCTCTCTCTCTCTCTCTCTCTCTCTCTCTCTCTCTCTCTCTCTCCCTCTGTCTCTCTCACGCGCGCACGCACGCTCGCACATACACACATTCACACACACCTTCTCACTCACTCACGCACACACACACGCCTTCTCACTCACTCACTCACTCACTCACTCACTCACTCACTCACTCGCACACTCACTCTCTCTCTCTCTCTCGCACACACACGCACACACGCTCTCCCACCCCCCGTGCACGACAGCCTGAGTTGCAGTCCTCCCGCACGTCTTCAACAGTGTTCTCGCCAACAGCGACGCGAACAGCGAGCCAGTCCGAGGACCAACTCGGCAGTGGCGGTGGTGATGGTGATGATGGTGATGCAGGTCGTGATGATGGTGGTGGTGATGGTGGCCCGCCCACGAAGAAGGCGCACCGCGAATAAAGCAACGTGATAATTGACGCATTTTTGGGTGTTGGTTGAAACATTGGCAAAACTCGCTCGTTGTTGTAATGTGATTGATTCAAGTCCGTAGATGCTTGTTGTGGCGTGGGAGTTGTGCATGTGTGCGTATTTCGCGACCTTCGCTTCAGGCACGTCAGTAAACACGATGTTGAAGCTTGTGCTGGCAATAGATTACGACATGAGAGAAGCGTGCTGAGTGTTCGCTGGACACATACACGGACCCACAACAACCCAAATAAATAACAAATAATAATAAATAATAAATAAAGCAAGTAGCAGACACCCCCTGACCTTTCTGTTGCGCGCATTTGAGGACACCCCCAGTCAACTTGAACTTCATCAACGCAGAGAAAAAGATTATTGCCTATCGCTGAGAACAACACAGTATCATTGTCTTTCGAGTACCCAGGTGCACTGATATTGCCGCATCACACATCAAACGCACCAGCCCTCACAACACCCAACGTTTCGCCTGCATTGGCCAATCTGTTCTGTCTTGAACCAAAACTTCAACGCCGGGAACGTGTCATGACGACGCTGTTTTATGCTTTGATGACACACA